GCCAAGCATCACATCCACTTTGCAACCGCTTTGAAAGTACAGCTTCTGGTTTCATGGTGAATGTATGTCGGCCATGCTCCCCTGTCATGCTTGTGCTGACCTACAGTCAGTTCCGGACGCAGGCTCTCAAAATGGTGTTCAACACACTGTTCGCAGACAGTCCTACCTTTCTGCACCACCTCATGTCCTCTGAACCGCCCATCATCAATGCCTCTGTGGTGTCGGCAGTGTCACGTATCCTGATCGACTGTCTGAAGAAAACTTGGCGGAGCTGCCCTTACTACACGTTCAGCATCACATACTGGTGCCGCGAGACTGCTCCAATGCTCTTCGAACGTGGTTTGCTTTACCCCTCCCTCATCAGGTGCGTGCCTTTTTCCACCATGCAGCCGTTTCTCATCATATTGTTCTCACCTCTAGCAATGCCATTGGTATATTGCTGATGATAGGTTGCATGGGAGAGGTTTGGTATGATAATAGTGCCTGCTGGTGGTACAGGGGCGAAGAGGTGCCCGAGACCATGGAGAGGTTTGAGAATGCAGCGTAGATTTATTTTGTCGCCTGCTACCTAATGCAGTGCCCTCATTGATTTTTTATCTGTGCCATCCCAATTAAGGCTGGGCACGGGTTGACCCACAGCTCACCCGGATCCGAACCCGTAGGTTTTGGACAGATCATAGTGCCTGATCTGGATCCGGCGCTATCCGCGCGCCCGGATATCCACGACCCGTGCTATCCACACCCGAAGTTCACGGATTCGCAGTGCAGTGATCCCGTGACCCGCACGATCTGCACCCGCAGTTCACGGATGCATGGTTCGGTGATCCAAAAATCGAGTTTTACTTCGACCGCCTTCTAAAGTAGTACAATATGTAGCGCTTCTCAGCCGCTTTCAGACACACAAAAAACGAGTCTAAACGACGAAGAAATGCACAAGATACAAGGTCTACAAGTGACGAACCCAAGATGAGTGAGAATGGTGATGATGTCATAGTTGCCCGCCGAATACAGTGCTTCAACAACCAAGTACTTATCACCAAACACCGTAGAACTCTTATAATGTGTGCCTATTTGTCGCTGCTAGCGCGGAGACATACAGTGCCAAAGCACATGATACCCACAACAAGTCTAGAACGGAACACATATAGATTGCCTTGATACATTGTACAGTCGCTAAGGACAGAGTCTAGAGATACGCAGTGGCGCGGCCACCGCAACTAATCAAGTTCAATCACGTTACCAGCCTCCATGGTGCGAGCCGCCGCGTCGTTGGCAGCCTGCTTGCGAGCCGCCACTGTGGGACTGGCCTTTATTATGTTTGCGAGGTCGTCCTCGCGCAGGATGGCAGGGATGCCGGCCCACAAGCCGACCACAGTCCCCGCACAAACAGAGTCTTTGCCGAGGGAGTGCCGAAGGCGAGACACGGTGAGGTGCCCACGCAAGAATGTGCGCTCAGTGTCAGTGGAAGTAGCTATGGAAGGGGTTATTAGCATCAGCTGTGGCTTGCGAGCGTAGAGTTGCACGACCGCGGCATACCTGGGATGGACAAGAAGTCCAGGGCCATCCTGGCCAGCGCACAGTTGGCTGACTTCGGGTCTTCCGCACTCTTCAAGACCAGATCCCAGTAGATCAAGGGATCAGAGACGGTTGACAAGGGTGGCACCTCGAGGTAGGCAGTGAGGGTGTCCTTGTTCTTGTTGGCGTTCGCAGAGATCAACGCAAACATGGCCTTGGACGCCTGAAAGGAATGAGGAATGTGCCTGTCCAAGAGTACATGATAGACATACCGCATTCACCAAGGCCTGCGCACTGCGCCGTGCAGAGTTCGCGACCGCCTTGCCTTTCTGCTTGCCACTTGCAGCACCTACGGGAGTCTTTGCGGTGTTCTTGGCCTTTGTCGAGGACACTCCGGAGCTGGAGCACGCAGAGACAAACGTGGGGACGACAGGAATGTCGGCTGGCTTGTAGTATGTCTCCCACTCCTCCTTGATGATGTCCTTGGCTTCGTCGATCCACTCTTCAGTCCACTTGTGCAAGCGGAAGTACTGAGTCTTGTAAGCGGGATGCAGGACTGCAAAGATGTTAGCAAAGTACCAGTATATACTATAGGGACAATGCTTACTCATCACGATGCGATAGACAATCGACTCGTCCGTCTTCTCGTAGTACTTGTTGAGGACGACGCGCCTGTGCTCCGCAGCTGCACGAACGGTCGCCATGAGTGTGCCGTCATCCGCGAAGTCGTCGAGGTGCTCGGTAAGGATATCAATATATGGGATGACCTCGTGTACCAGCGCGCGGCTGCTGGTCGAGATCTGCTTCGTCGCGAATAGGAACGGCTGCGAGCAGTGCAGCAGATCAGTTATGAATCCTCAGTAGAAGCAGTCGGCGCGAGTACTCACACCGAGGAGCCTGTGAAGCTCGTAGAGCAGTTCCCACTCCTCGTTGTCGAGCATGAATCAATGGAGGCGGACGCCGTCACGACGGTTGAACTGTGTCTTGTCACAGAGCTCAGTGAGAATGTCGCACATTTCCAACGCACAGGCCAAGACTTCCGTCACTGTGTTCCTGGTGTATTTTCCCTTCCCAGTGCCAATGGACCGTGATCCCGAGGAATGCGAGCACGTTTGGGGAGGTTCAGCCATTGACACACGAGGGGATCTTGACCTTGGCATAGAGCATGCGGAAGATGTTCTGCAACTTCGGATCCTCGACGATTGCATAGGTACAGTGACGGCGAGCACACCACAGCGCAAGAAAGAGGCGCATACGTGGAGGGGTGTAGGTGATGCTGTGAGCGAATGCCTAGATCTTCTCGCCTTTGGGAGTGTCGTTGGGCTTGCAGGAGTCGACATGGTGCTTGAGGTTACCAGTCAAGTACTTGTAATCAGCACGATTGACATGCTTGGATGGGCACCTGATGAAGTGATAAGTACCAAGGAACTATTGTAAGTGTAGGATTGCACGGGACTTACCTCTTGCAGACAAATCGGTAGATATAGGACCCCTTGGGTCCCGCAATGAGCTCCGGAACCTTGAAGTGTCCGTAGACCTTCGATCTCCAGCCCTTGGAGATGATTTCTGCAACAAACGACGCCGATCAGCCGCTTGAAATGTGCACAAGATATCAAACCACTTGCGGAGTATCTCCTCAGGTGTCTGGCCACAATACTTCTCCTGGAAGCGCACACGCTTCTCGTCCGCAGTGAGAAGACGAAGACAGCGGCTCGCATTACGGGTGACGGTGGCCAAGGCCTCGATGCCGCCATCGGTGGCAGCCTCAGCTCCGCTCTCATCAGCAGAGCGGTCCGCCGCGCTGTTCTTGCTGTCGTCGGAAGGATCGCCCTCGGGAGAGGACACGTCGCCAGCTTGCGAGTCATTGTCAGAGCTGTCGTCCTTGAGTTTCTTCTTGGGCGGGCTCGCAACGTCGGAGGGTCGTCCACGAGCCTTGGCCGGTTGCAGCGGAGTTGCGTCCAATCCACCCTCGCCAGCTGACCCGCTAAGAACAACGCAGGTGGCCTCCGAGGACTCGGTGTCGCGACAGTGTTTGCGTTTGTTGCCAGCTTTAAAAGACATGAGACTGCAGGGGGGATGCCGTGTTGAGCAAAACGGGAGAGGGTACGAGTGGTGACACTCTGGGGACTTACCCAGGATGATGACCAGCTTATATCCTCCCGTTGGTCTCACCGTAAAGTTACCATCGGCCACCAAGACCCAATGAACCGATGGCCGACCGACTGCCTACACGCGGTACAGGCATGGTGGGCGCACATCGGAGTCGCAGGTCACTGCAGTGAATGGTGCATGCTCCTGGAAGGCCGGTCAGTGGTCGCGCAACTTCGGAAAATATGATGTTGATGTCTTACCCTCCCACATGTTCTCTTATCATGCTGGTTGCATTTGCGTCAGCTGCAGAGCGAGGTAGGTGTACCTGGGCGCAGACAGTCAGCGCCAAGAAACTTGGGATACTGTACAGCACGTACCGGTTGAAATATGGCAGAACAAGGCCAAGGAAGGCGTCGCATGGAGGACGATATCCAGGAGGAGTTCAGGGGCAGGAGAGCGACGTGGCAAGAGGAAGAGTGAGCCTGAGAAGACGCACATCGAGCAGGGCACCCACAGCACCTAGGTTGGCAGCTGTCCCCACGCAGAAGCAACCATATGGAGCGCACGCGATGCACAGACCAGCGTATGCGCGTCCACTCAACACCTCCACGACTCTCTTGACCACCGAGCTCATTTGATAGCTCTTCACTCTCTGTTTTCGCTGCCGACACTACTACTCCCTCGCAGCTCCTCATCAGATCGTAATCTCACTGTCTAAGCGCCCTAACCGCGTGGATCACACACTCCTTCCCTCATGAGCTCCAAGTGCCTCCTGTGGTACAAAACGACAATCCACGAGTCAAGGTACAACACGGCACAACATAAAAACGGGGTATGTCTTGATTTTGAATCGCATGCAACGCCGCCCTCAAGGCATGACAGTCCGAATGTCGGACAGCCGATAATGGCCGACAGCGCCGCGCACGGCGCACGACATCCTACTCAGAGCGGGCCTCAGTGGGGATCCGCCTTAACGCAAAAAACTACATAAGCTGGTGCAGCGGAGTCGTCGACTTTGTTTCAAACTTGCCCTCTCAGACATTTCGCAACCGGCCGCCACGCATGTCCACTCATACCACCGCACCCCCACCCATGTACGACGCGGAGGGCGATGGCGCTGACATCTATCTGCGCATCGACTCTACATCGGCCAGCACGATGCCCGACGAGCACGACAACTCGGAACCTATTCCATTCGTTGTGATGCTCATCTATGGGCCGACTAATGCTCTCATGGTGAGCCGTGGATAACACCTCATATGCCCTCCTTTACTAATCAAACCATTTGTAGCTCCTGTTCCCCACCGATGAGTGTACCAAAGTCACTCAGGCTCAGATTGAGGCATGGCTGCACTTCACGCACGGTCCATTCTTGACGCAGTGTGGGGCCTCAGACGAGCAGCTGGAGAGTCTGGTCGCGATCATCCTCATGTACCGCGTGTTTGCGCTCGGGCATCCGGGCGTGGATCGCGACGACTTCTATCTCTTTGCTGCACGCCCTGTACTCGCCGCCCACGAGCTACACCCTCTCGAACGTGCGGATGACAAGCTCGCTAAGCTCGTAGGCTGGCTCAACGTGAACCTGCCGGCTGTGAGTACAATTTACACTGATTTTCTCGGACTTGTACTAAATGGGCACCTTTAGAGCGTCTTCGACGCTAATGCTCACAACATATCTGGCACTCACACTTCACCCGGCAGCGCTCCAGGTCCCTCCAACGCTGACAGTGCGTCGGCGAGCTCAGCCACCGGTCCCGCCTCCAGCGGCAGCGCGCGTGGGGGTGATGCACCGCGCTCTCTCACGGCTGCCATTAGGGCATTGCATCTGGCTGATGAGTTACAGTTTGCGCGTTCCTTTGACAATGACGCGTCCTCGGACGACGGCGAAGGCGCCACAGGTGGGTTCGGTAAAGGTTCGGATAGCAAGTTGTACAGTACCGATAACGGCTCTATCCCCAGTCTTGTGTCCGTAGGCTCCAGATCTGACTGCCCCTAAGTACATGTACCATAGATGCCCTTAGATATGGTAGCTATAGCGGTATACAACAGTGTCATAGGCCATGTCATTGAACAACATTTTGTGTCTCTTTTATTGAATGACCTGTTTCAGATCGCATCTTTCCACATGCCTTGACCCAGATCCGTCCCTATCTGTGCATACGGATATCCGTGATCTGGGAGATCCGAGTTCACAGGTTGGGGTGCGGGTTGGTGCGGGTCTACCCGTGAGGTGATCCGGACCTGTGCCCAGCCTTAATCCCAATAAAGATGCCCGGCCACATTAATTTGTCCTCCCATCAATGTGTGCTCTTGGCAGTGGCAGTATATAAGAAGGGCACTTAGGAGGGCTGTGTTTTCCCTCCCCCCTGAATTGTGCAGCTACGTGTATGTGTTCTCTTTGTGCAATTTTGCAGACCGCTCACACGCCCCTGAATAGCTATGTCACAGTCCACACTCGATCTGACCCTCGAGGACAACCACTACGGTGATTCCTCTCTGGGTGGCCTATTTGATTCAACTCCTAT